TCGGCAGGGCTGCTCTCAATCCCTTCATCCCCCAGCCTGTATTGATACTGAGGGTTGCCCCGACCCAGGTGCAGGACCTTGCACTTGGCCTTGTTAAACCTCAGGAGGTTCACACAGGCCCACTTCTCCAGCTTGTCCAGATCCCTCTGGATGGCATCCCGTCCCTCTGGCGTGTCAACCACACCACTCAGCTTGGTGTCATCTGCAAACTTGCTGAGGGTGCACTCGATCCCACTGTCTATGTCATTGATGAAGATATTAAACAGTACAGGTCCCAATACGGAACCCTGCGGGACGCCACTCATCACCAACCTCCATCTGGACATTGAACTGTTGACCACTACCCTCCGGATGCAACCATCTAACCAATTCCTCACCCACCGGACAGTCCACCCACCAAATGCACCTCTCCAGTTTAGAGAGAAGGATGTTGTGGGGGACCATGTCAAAGGCCTTACAGAGGTCCAGATAGACAAAATCTGTAGCCCTTCCCGTGTCCACTGATGTAGTCACTCCATCAGTGTGCTTTAATGGGATGCGCATTCTTCTGCAAGGATATCTGGCACGTTACTAGGCTGTATTTGCCTAAACCCAACTCCCAGCATGGAAGCCTATACAACACAGACAGAATGGCATGTTCCTGACATCACAGCTAAGACCTTACAAAACTTAATGACTGGGCAATAAAATGTCAAATAAAATTCAGTACAAATAAATGGGAAAAAAACAACCCTAAACTTACATATGAAATAGGAGGCTCCCAGCATATCATTATTGTTCAGGAGCAAGATCCTGGATGGTTCACAGATACATGAATCTATGAACTCAATGTTCAGCAATAGTCAAAAAATCAAATGACAAATTGTGCATTATTGCATTATTATAAGGACAGTAATATAAAACAAAATGAAGAGCATCATTAGGTCACTACAGAAATACATAGATTACTTTTCAAATAGTCTGTACGGGCTACCTCAAACATACAGAACTGAAAGGGTTCAAAGGGGACAACAAGGCTGATCAATGTATGTGTCCTGGTTTCAGCTGGGATAGAGTTAATTTTCTTCCCAGTAGCTGGTATGGTGCTGTGTTTTGGATTTAGTAGGAGAACAATGTGCTAACACACTGATGTTTTAGTTGTTGCTGAGTAGTGCTTACACTAGTCAAGGACTTTTCAGCTTCTCATGCCCTGCCAGCGAGAAGCTGGGAGGGGGCACAGCCAGGACAGCTGACCCAAACTGGCCAAAGGGACATTCCATACCATGTGACGTCATGCTCAGTACAGAAACTGGGGAAAGCTGGCTGGGGGGTGGCGACCGCTGCTTGGGAACTGGCTGGGCATCAGTCAGTGGGTGGTGAGCAATTGCATTGTGCATCACTTGCTTTGTATATTCTTTTATCATCATTATTATTATTATTTTCCCTTCCTTTTCTGTCCTATTAAACTGTCTTTATCTCAAACCACAAATTCTACTCTTTTTTTTCCCCGATTCTCTCCCCCATCCCACTGTGGGGGCGGGGGGAGTGAGCGAACAGCTGTGTGGTGTTTAGCTGCCTGCTGGGTTAAACCACAACAGTATGGAAGTGTTCCCATAACAGGTACAACTAAGCCAGTTAGAAATCTTCAGCCTGCGAAAGAGACCACTGTGGCAGTTGCATGGGGAAATGTATAAAATCATGAGTGTAGGTAAGATGTTTAGAAGATGTACTGTTAGCTGTTTCTTGCAATACAAGAACCAGGTAATTTCAGAAGGACACCAGTAAGTGCAAAGCTGCTAAAAGTAATTTAGCTATGATTCTTCTTGCCACAGCATGCTGTATGGTGCTGACAGAGAGAATGAAGATTTTATGAATGAGAAGCCCACTAAGGATGACTAACAATGCCTAAAACCAGAGAAACCTTACCAGGCTCTGGAAGTTCCTGAGCTACCAGGAGTTGAAGCCCAAAAGCCTAAAGCAAAGTAGCATGTATGTTCATGATTCTCCCTATATTCTCCCACGGGCATCTGCTCTTAGCCACTATCACAGCCAGGATATTGGACTAGACGGTCATTGATCTGATCCTGTACAGCCACTCACGTGTTTTTGCTTCCTTTAATCTAGAAGAACATCTAACATTTTTCCTTACGAGACAGTATACCATCAACACACAAGAATTAGATCAGCAATTTTGATTGATAACTTAGTTTACTTTCCAATTGGATAAGTGTATCATCAGAAACATCAGTAATTTATCCCTTCTGTACTATGTCCTTATTACAAACAGCGTCAAAGGAAACAAATTCAGCAGCAAATGAAAACAGATCAAAGTAACAGATGCCCTGCTAAGGGCATTACTTTTAAAAGACAGAAGTATTTTGATCATCATTGTAAATCTGGTCTGCAAAAGAAAAAGGTACCATAGCTACCATATGATTAAACTCATGTCATAGTTGCCACTGATTTTTCTAGCTCTTTACTGTTCTTCACATCAGGATCTTACCTGCCTCTTTAGAAAGTACAATATTTGTAAAGTTAAAAGCAATAGAGAAAAAGTACAGTAGCAAGTAAAAATGTCAATGTACTTAGGTTCTCTAATAATACTTTCAAAGTACACACAGTACACATACATACTATGTGTACTATGTACACATAGTACAACAAAGATACTAAAGTTCTAAAGAAACACTAACGGATTCTACTCCTTTATCGTCACTGAACGAGAAAAGGTTGAATTGCTTCCAGGCTTCAATTACCCAACCTTTCAAAGAAGCTGTAGGCAGAAATAACAAGGTAAAAATGTTATTCCGAGATATTGTTCATATGTGGTCCCATAAAAGTTAGATAGAGGTAAAAAAACAGAGGACCAAAGCCACTATCCCACAACTGTTCTATGTCAATACCAAGGAGTATGTATGTTATCTTCTTCTAAAGAATATTTTGTTTGCATGTTACTTCATCTGAAAAACTGCTGGGCAAGTGCAGCTTCAGAGTGCCTTTAAAGCTTTTTGGAGACAGGGCAAATGAAGGAAATTTTATATACATATATATATATTTGGAAGATACAAAAATGAAATCAACAGAACTGGCACTAAAGACAGTAATGTCTAGCTTTTAAAATATTGACTTTCATAATTATTTTTCAGGTTATATCAATTACATTGATCAAGTTCCTTCTCATTTCCATGCCTCTGATTTCTTTCCTACTAATGTTAATCTGTCAACAAATAAAAGCTAAGTTTCCAAAGTTCAGTTTGAATTTTGAATCAACTGGCCTATACTCTTTCCGTACAATGTAATAGATAATGTGTTGAATTATGATCTAATAAAAGTTCTTATAAAATAAGAAAGCAATAAGCCATTGGAATTTCCATGGAAAAGAGAGGTCATCTACAAGGTACATGAGGACCAAGAGTTCAGGGATCTGTAAGTAATGGAGTATCACCTGCTCCTGAAACAGTCAATTCATCCTACAGTCAGCGTCGGATCTGCTCCCCCGCCACCCAGTTCTGTGAATTTGGAGCACAAATTTGTGCTGTATGGAATTACATTTCCAATCAAGGGCATTTCTCAAAGCCTCAATTCCTTGGCAGCTGTGTTTTCACAGTAACATCAGGGTGTGGTCTTCCTCCACTATGAGCTTTTTCAAAAAGTTCTAAAGTAAACCTTAGTGAAGCAACACTGTGGGGTTTGTGCAGTTAAATCCTAAAATATTTTTATAATTTATGTATTTTACAACAGGGAAGTTTAAAAAACAAAGTCTTTTAATCTTTACTAACAATTAATATAATCTCTGTCTAAATGCATTTGCAAGATAACTCACAGAAATCAGTCCTATTCAATAAGCTATGCATGTCATTTTGTTGTATTTTTTCTTTACTGAAAATATTTCTTTTTTAAAGATTAATTATACTGATAATGCATACCTGCAACTGGATCCTGCGAAACAGTCCAAATAATAATCATACTTTTTTTTTTTAATACAGGAATATCTTGTTTTGTTAAGTTAATTCAATCAGTGTAAATATATCAGGCAATTGAAAAAATACAGAGTATAGTATTTTTCTATATATAGTATTATACATATATATAGTATATATTATATACTATATATAGTATATAGTATATATTCTATAATATATATTCTATGTAGTATTTTCTATATATTTTTCTATATACATCTCTCTCTCCAGTGAGACTGTATGTTTATTATAAAAAGGAAATCCTTAGTACAAGTATCTGGTACTTGTAATTCCAGATAATTCTAATACAAGTAACCACTGTTTGTTTGGTTTTTTATTCAAAAGAAACAATGAGTTTAAGCACATGAAACTTTCTCTACAGTACAAATATTAGGGGGATTATGCCCTACATTGCAGTATGTCACTTCTGGCAAAACTGCAGTCAGCCACAATTAAGAATTCTACAATCTGGGATAACTAAATGATCAACTTAAAGTTATTTCTCTTTAAAACCCACTGATGTTTGCAAACTATTTTTCTTTATCTTCATAAGATAAGGACACAAAGAGACACATCAGAAACACTCTGTGTCAAGAAAGATTTAAAGATAGCAGGGCAAGGTCTCATGAGGGGAAAGTTTGGTCAGACTATCATGCCCACAGTTGTCACAAAAATTCAGTCTTCAATCCACACAGCTCACTGAACAGCTGTCTTTGCATTACAGGACACAAATATGAAAATGCACAGCCACATCACACACCGTATTTTAAAATGAATGGCACAACAATTGGGTAAGTGTTTCTCAGAAGTACATACAACCCTCCTAAGCAAAAAGAAATTAGAAACTCACCATCACTGAGATCTTGCAGAAGGTTTTCTTGGCATGAAAAGTCCAGCTTCACTTTAATGTTTACAGTAAACGTTGCAATCTTTCCAGGTTTTAGAGGAAACTGGGAGAGGGTATCTTCTAGCTTCCAACTCAGGAAGTCCCCATACAGCTTCTCTGTATTAAAATAAGTAAATATTTCATGAGCATAACTCCTGTGTTAAAGAACTTTATAACAGTTATATATAAGGAAGTCTATAACAGTTTATAACTGTTGCAGAGAGCATTAACTGATTTGTCATTTTTTGTTTAAATTCCAAAATATTTACAATTAAGGCATTAAAAATTAATGTAACACTAGAAAGATATTAGAGAGGTTACTGACATTGACCTGGAAGCATGTAGATCACAAAGCTCAAAATATGAATTTAAGTGAAGACCACTACCAGAAAAAAAATATTGCACAATAGGCAGCGTTAAATATACACTTTGAATACAGCCTGAAGGGGACCTAAAAGCTCATATAGTTCTGAATCCTACAGACTTCAACTCGGAAAATGTCACACGAATGCAAAAACATTTCATCAAAATATTACACCAAAATAAATCAGTTACAATTCTGTAACATCATTATTTAGTTACTTATTGAGCAACAGAGAAGGCTAGGAAGACTATTGGCTTTCATTTTTTTGTAAAATAAAGTCCTTTGTCAAAACTGAGAGGCATAAAGTAAACAAGACCCAAACATTAAGGATGCTGCCAGACAGGATTAGTTTGTGTTAAAAGAGATTTGTTTGATAAATTATTTATCATTGGTCCATATGAGATAGGGCATCTCTCCTAAGCCTAACATGCCAGAAGATAATATGAGGAAAAAACCAGTACTTATTGTTCATCAATACATTGAGATACTTTATCCAGTTATTCAGTCTCCTTAGTACCCCAGTAACATCAAAAGATCCATCTTGAAATAAAGAGGAATAGGGGGTTAAGTCCGCTTCAGGAAGAAGGGTGAGTTAGTTATGTGTTATTTCAAGCTCTGAAGTATGCCAGAAGCTAGAGTCACGGACATTTAAGTACCGTCAGCAAAAGCAATCCAAAAAGTGATGTTTATGAACTTTACGCAAGATAAAATAATTTTTTTTTTAGAATGACAGAAAAGGTTGTTACATACTAGAATGTTACAATAACACAGTGACTTCTTCCTGAATTGATCTTACTTCAGATACTAAATAGACACAAGAAATATCTGCTAATATCTTATTTCTTTTATGCACTTCATGAATGATCCCGGGGGGGGAAATCACTTAATCTCTCAGTGCTTCACTTCTAATCCATTGTACAGGCTCTGGCTGAGGTGGAGTTAATTTTCTTCATAGCAGCCTGTATGGTGCTGTGTTTTGGATTTGTGACTAAAACAGCGTTGATAACGCACCAGCTTCTTGGTTATTGCTGCACAGTACTTGCACGGCATCACGACTTTCTCTTTTCCCGCTCTGCCTTGCCGGAAAGTAGGCCAGCAGTGGCCAAGAAGCTAGAAGGCACCACAACCAGGATAGCTGAGCCAGACTGACCAGAGGAATATTCCATGCCATAAAATGTCATTTTGTTTTGCTTTTTTCTTCCTCTTTCCTTTGCTTATTAAACAATCTTTATCTCTACCTATGAACTTTCTCACTTTTGCCCTTACGATTCTCTTCCCCATGCCGCTGGGGGAGAGGATGGGGGGAGTGAGCAAGCAACTGCGTGGAGGCTTCAGTTCTGGCCAGGGTCAACCTACCACATCCATAAATTCATTAACGTTTGCAGGACCATACGATGTTAAGCGCTGCAGAGAAGTCTATTAATACATAAAATAAACATGATGGTTTGACTGGCAGAATCCTAAAAATATATTTATTAATTTATTGTAGCAATGCATGCTATCTCCAAAGTACACTGAAGAATTCTTCTAAAGGCTCATTTAAACACCATTTGAGCACTGCTTGCATAACATGAGGACCACTGAAAGTCACACAGTTCATCTCTAATTCATACCAGGCTACTGGATTTAAGAGCAAGTTAGTGTATTGCCATTTCAGAGCCTTTCCAAAACCACCATCTAAGATCCCTGTGTGAGAAAACGGGGTGGGAAGGCTGCCTCAACAACTACAATCTAGAATTCAGGATCTTTCAAAAAAAGTAATTAGAATTCCAGTCCAAACTTTGTTGATTTGCACAGAACCAACTGCATCTAGGGAAGGAAAAAAAAAGTGAATATTTTTCCATTAACTCCTACCTAAACAATAACTGCTTTGCCTGAGAGATGTTTCTCTCCCAGACCATCAATTGTTTTCTTGTGTCTTTCCACATCAAATCAATATTATAGACTTCTTTATAAGAACAAAGATGAGGTAAAAATAAAAAATCCTCCCAATAATTGTTTCTTTAAAGTCACCTCCACCTCATCTAATGATTTAGCTGTAACCATATCACTGTTCTGATTTTCTTGTATTTTCAAGAAAAGAAGTAACTTAGCAAGTACAGCAATCTCTATACCCTTTTCCTCATAAGTAAAAACATAATATTCTAAAGGGATGTTTTTCCTCAGTGTAAGCAAAGACAAATGACATATCCCAAGCACCTCAGTGTATCTTCAGTTTAATGAACACATCGTTTCCAAAATGCGTTTTCACTAAGCAGAAGATTTATCTGAAGATATTATGAGTGAAAAGACTTTCCAAGTGAGAATAGCCCTTGCAGATACTCTCTGATTTAACAGCTGTAATTACAAGACAAGGTCTAAATGCTCAAGCTAAAAGTTAAACTGTAGAGAAAAATCTGGTTTATATTTATCTGACACTGGTTTACAGTTTAAAAATGTTTTCTTCACCTTGTTCAGTAATCACTATTACAGTGAATTATACTACGGCATGGGGCTTCAAACCTTTCAGTTCAGTGGGAAAGTCTCTTATTTGGGGCGTGTCTGCATTCAGTTGTTTCTAGACTCCAAAATTTGTGTTTAGCAAACAACTGAAGTTACAAGCAACTTTTAGTCAAGAGTTCAAATTAGTAACTTGTTTTATCATTCTACTGGATACTAAATCACTAAAATCGTAACAGATATCATATGACAGCATACCCACAATCTAACTTTGGGTTACCCTAATCCAATCTAACTCTTAACAGATTTTAAATTCTGCTTTAAAAAAAAAAAAATCCACACTGGCATTTTGCATAGAGAAACTCAAGAGAAAAACAAGTCTTTTGAGATGACAAGAAACTCAATTCCTCAATTCTTTTCAACCTTAAATTCCCAGGTAAATGTGGCTTTTTGCTATGTTTGTCATTTTCCTAATTTCATCTATTTCAAAAGATCACAAATGGTTTATTTTAATGTAAGCACATCTATAGAATTCTTTACTGAAATAATTTAACTCTTTGTTTGGGTATTTAACTTTACATGGCTATTAAAACCATTATGAGAAGCCATATCTGTTTTTACCTTCCCACCATCACAAACTCATGCTATTGTATAGAACAACACATATTAGGACTGCTACCATTTTTCTCAAAATTATTTGCTCTTAAGATAACCAGTCCACAAACAAAACCATAAAACTATCAGTTTAAGAATTACTTAAATAGGAACAAATTCAAGTTAGACTAGCAATGTGTATTTAGTATTTGGTATATTTGAACATTAATATCTCAATTGCATAGATTGCAAAGGTATAGAATTTATGAGTTATCAAGATTTTAATTTCTTTTTTCCTCTATAAAATGCTTTATATAACAACACTGTAGACAAAGACATTGGGCCTACAAGAAAGCTAGAGAGGGACTTTTTACAAGGGCATGTACTGATAGGACAAGGGGTAATGGCTTTAAACTGAAAGAGGGTAGATTTAGATTAGATATAAGGAAGAAATTCTTCACTGTGAGGGCGGTGAGGCACTGGAACAGGTTGCCCAGAGAAGCTGTGGATGCCCCATCCCTGGAAGTGTTCAAGGTCAGGTCGGATGGGGCTTTGAGCAACCTGGCCTAGTGGAAGGTGTCCCTGCCCATGACAGGGCGGTTGGAACGAGATGATCTTTAAAGGTCCCTTCCAACTCAAACCATTCTATGATTCTACGACTTCTTTCAATAACAATGGTTAAGGCTATCAGCATTAAATTTTTCTGCAAATTACATCCACTACTTGATCAGATTCATTTCCAGAGAATTAATCTTGACTAGGTTTCAAAATAATTTAGGGGAGTAATAATGTCAAAGGCAAGAAACTCAAAAGGACCTCACAAAATCGAGTAGACAAAAAGATGGACTTCGACATACATAAAGTTAAAATAATGCATCTGTGGGGAAAAAAAAATGAGCCATGCATGCTATGTTGAACTTTGAACTGGCAGTTACAACTCCAGAAAGAAACCCTACAGTCACCATTGATGGTCCTCTGGAATCATCAGCTTAGTGAACAGCAACAGAAAAAAAAAACCCAAAACAAAACAAACAAACAAAAAAAACCCCAACAACAAAACGTAGGTCATCATTAGAAAGGACACTGAGAGCAAGTCAAAGCGGGGCATTTTGCCACTGCATAAAATCTTGGTGTGCTCACATTCTAAGTGTTATTTGCAGTTCTGGTCTCTGTACTGCAAGGAGGACATACTAGAGCTAGAGACAGTCCAAAGAAGGGTAAATAAAGTGATCAAGGGGGTGGAGCGGCTGCTATGCAAGCAGAGATTAAAAATGCTGGGACCCTTCAGTTTGAACAAAAGGCTGAGTAGGGAAAGATGACTACACTTTACAAAAATTACAAGGATGGCGGATAAAGTAAATGCAGAACTGTTGCTCACTAAATTCCCTGGTATGAGAACCAGGAGCACTTGATAAAACTAGTAGGAGACCAGATTAAAACAGATACAGCACTTCTCTACCCAGCTGATAGTGAACTTCTGGAATCTGTTGCTACAGGAGGCTGCAGCAGTAAGCAGTACCAGCAGCTTCATGGATAAGTCCACAAAGGGCTACTGAAAACGAGTATTTATGTACAGCAACTACAGATGCTGAGCGAGCACAACAGAAACACCACAACGGTGGCGAGACTTGCATGCTCTCCCTAAGCAGCATCTCCTAATGTCATGTGACTCCTGAGCTAGACGGACCATCAGCCCTAGTAGGACATTTCTTGAATTCTT